GCTCCCAAAATATGACCTGAAAAACAGTAAGCATTTAATAATTACTTCTTGTAATTTTTTACAACTTTATCTTTTAATATTATTATTTTTTAATTGCCTGAGTCATGTTTCTAAGTGCCAACTCTCTTTCATTCTATATGTACTACTTTTTCTAGCATCTTGTTTTTATTATGAATGCAGTATATTTGTACTGATTGTAGAGTATTAGCCATCTTTTTTCTTCTTGCTTTTCCTCTACTTTTCATGTGAGACTTTTCTCTAATATATTCACATATTTGCTGTGTTTTGATATTTAAGACTAAGTCACTCAAAAGCCAACTGGCTGCTCTGTGTATTTGAGCAGGGCTTGTCATCCACTGACTGATCAGGTGACCCACCTATTTCACTTGGAAATTTTAACTGTCAGCATAGGTTGTCTTGTTTTTCTTGGACTGTTTTCTCCAGGGAAAAATTCTTTTGCTTGGAGACTTATAAGATTAGCAGCTAGTATCCTGAGAGCCAAGCTGAGAAAGGAGTCTAGGGATCTTTCAATTCTGCATGTGGACTTCTGCTTAGTATCTTTGTCGCTTAGGTGCCTCACTTCTGCTCCCAGCCATGCCTAGAATTTTGCAGCCTAGAGCTCCCAAGCCTAATTCTTCAGCTAGTTAACAACTCTTCTGTTGGAATAGAGTATATTAATTCCCTAGTCAGGGCATGATTCCATTTTTCTGGTTTCATCCTCCAGGAATCAGGCAGAGTGGAAAAGATAAAAATCAAAGTTTGTTTCCTCTGTACAAGCCTTTTGATGGCACTTAGGACAGTGATTTATGGGTTTATATACCAGACTGTATGTCCCTGGAATGTAAGCATGTAAGCCTTTACCCAGTGTCTTAGGCAAGTGTTTCCAAGAACTAAACCCCAAGGCAAAAGATTTAAGTGCATATGATTTATTAAGTGAGTACTCCCAAGAGAAATCAGTAAATGAGTAGGAACAGCAGAGCCGACAAGAAGAAGAAATGAGGGAAGAATACATATCAGCTGAAGCCTCAGCATTAGCCTAATTCCATGGTAAACTCTGCATCATAATATTATACTTAGTGCTTACCTCACCTCCAAACAAAGAAGCCAAGTCAGTCATTGGCTAAGGAGTGTGATGATGGGCGGTGAGGGTATGGGGATAAAAAGCTCCCATATGCTTCTAGCTCTCAATACTGGCAAGGTGACTTTGACTTCATTGCCCAAAGGGAATACTCTGGAGGTCTTGAGTGTGAGTCATTGCCAGAAAAGCATGTGGAAGCTGGAAGATGAGTGCCTGGGTTGATAAAGCGGATCCCAGGAGAACTGAGCAGGCACCAGTTGTGTCCACTAAACTCTAGTATCTTCCCCTCACAATAATTTGATAAAGGAATGGCAATCCCTCATAAACACCTTGCAGTTTAAAGAGGTTTCCTTTTTTTCATCTCTTATTGCAGTTGCTCTTCAGAATGATTTTATAAGGAGAGAAGAACAGCATTATTATCCTTATCTTTAAAAAGAGTAAGACAAGGCAGAAATTGGGGGACTTTTCTAACATCTTCAGCTTCTAAATTTAGAGCTTGTTCTAGCCTGCTACTTCATATCTTAGAGTTTTATAAATATTTTAGATAGGCATGAGAAATGCATATAAATATGAATTATTTAACCTGTGTATCATGATATTTTATAATTTAAAAAATACAAAATGTATTATAAGGAATAAACTATTTTTTAGTTTTAAAATGATTGTCATATAGGTTTTTTAATATTACCTAAGAAAAAGTTGGGTTAAATAGCGAACTCCATATTAAGATATATTTTAATTTAATTCCCACCATCACTCAAGTCTTCTCCCAGTGTTGCATTACTCAAAGGATTTAATTAAAGCTAGTGTGAAAGAAACATGTTAAAAGGTTCCTGGAGCACAGTGAGAGGTTTATTCATTTTGAATATACTCGGAGTTCTTCCATACTTTTCCCCATGGCTTTATTTGCATATAATGCTTTTGACTCACGACATTTCTGCTGAAGTATGAATATTCCTCCAGAAATATTGCCAGTAACACTTACAGTCTATTATTGACCCTGCCTTCCTCTAGTTCAAGAATTACATACCTATAAAGGATCCACCTTTGCTTCTCTGCTCCTGCTAATCCTAGACCACCCACTAATCATGAATCCCTCAGTGATATGATAAATTCAGATAAGTTGAGAACAGTTTACCCCAGGGATGTATTCCGAACTAAATAGCTACTATTATGTTAAATCTCCTTCAGTTATTTGAACTCGTCTTCCTTTCTGGATGATCTGAAATGGTGCTTTTCAAACTTGGTGGCACATTAATATCACTTAGGGAGTTTTAAAATATATAAATGTTGTCCTGATTCTGCCCTAGACTAGTCAAATCAGACTTGCAGGCATTGGTAATAAGTTTACAGCTTCCAATGTGATTCATTATCTCTCTTTTTTGATTGAGACAGGATCTCATTGTGTTGCTCAGGCTGGCCCCAAACTCTGGGCTTAGACAGATCTCTTGCCTCAAACACCTGAGTAGCTGGGACTAACCAATGCATATAGATTTTCTAGCCACTGCACCTGGCTAAAGTGCCCCCTGTGATTCTATCATGCAATCAAGGTTGAAAACACTCATCCAAAACTGGAGAAATGTGACATGTCCATTGGTGTCAGGAGTAGATTTTGCTGTCTCCCAATCTTGGTAGCAGGATTTCATTTCCTTTTCAGCTTAAAATTTCTCATTCACTTTAGTCTTTTATGTATGCTTGGTCAACCAACAACTTGAGGTCACAGTGGGGCAAACTGAAAGCCTGTTGGTATCTTATCCAAGGCCTGTTAGTTTGGTATACATAGTTCAAGCGTATTAGAAAAAGGAGCTGTTGGCTGGGTGTGGTGGCTCAGGCCTCTAATCCCAGCACTTTGTGAGGCTGAGGCAGGCAGATCACAAGGTCAGGAGATCAAGACCATCCTGGCCAACATGGTGAAATCCTGTCTCTACTAAAAATACAGATATTAGTTGAGTGTGGTGGCGCATGCCTATAATCCCAGCTACTTGGGAGGTTGAGGCAGGAGAATCACTTGAACCAATGAGTTGGAAGTTGCAGTTGAGAGGAGATTGTACCACTGCAATTTGGCCTGGCAACAGAGAAAAATGCCCGTCTCCAAAAAGAAAAAAAAAAAATAAAAGGAACTGTTGTACCTTACAGAATCTGAAAATTGAAACTTCTCTTTTCCTCAGTACAAATAGTGCTTTACTCTCTATCCTCCATGAGTTTACCAGACACAGAACAGCAGTTAGAGCCTGTATTTTCAGTTCACCTTGGTACCTACCTTCCACTATCCACATGGCCTGTTAACTGTTTCTAACCCTGTTCTTTGGACTTCGGTACAAGGAGTCACTTGCAATGCTTCTAGAAATATAATTCCCTTACCCTACCTCTAAAGATTCTGATTTGACAAAGGAACATGTATTTTTACATTTTAAGCAGCTCCCTAGGTAATTCTCATGACAGTTGTGCAGAAAGCTGATTTTAAAAATCAAAACTCTAATTTCTTTAGTGGTTGTTTTTTGTTGTTGTTGTTCAAAAATGAAGGAAGGAATAAGAGATAGCATGACTTTACTGTTTTTTCCCTTCTATTCTGTAAGTTAATATATGAAAAAGATTCCACTTATGGTATCTTTATGTAAAGTTTACAAACACATATTGACACCTACGTCTATACATAGGAGAAGTGATTAATTCCTGAATCTCTTGGTCTTACAATTGGTGGTATGTTACAAGAGCAAAAAAAAAAAAAAAGGCTTTGGAAAATTACATATGCTTCTTGAATTTAATGTTGATTTGCTCTGTCTATAGCAATGTTTTCTAAAATAAAACCTCTATATTTCAGTTCTACTTAGTATCGTACATTTAATGACATTAGACTTCTGTTTAAGAGGTATTATGTCTCTCCAAGGTAGAGATTTCATTACAGTGTGATAATTATTATGAAACTTTTTTCAATTTATGTATTGGTCAGGTTTTAACTAAATATATTTCCTGTATTAGTCTGTTCTCACGCTGCTAATACCTGAGGCATACCTGAGACTGACTAATTAATAAAGAAAAGAGGTTTAATTGACTCACAGTTCCACAGGGCTGGGGAGGCCTCAGCAAACTTACAATCACGGTAGAAGACAAAGGAAGAGCAAAGTCATGTCTTTCATGGCAGCAGGCAAGAGAACTTATGTAGGGTAACTTCTCTTTATAAAACCATCAGATCTCCTACTATCATGAGAACAGCCTGGGAAAGACCCACCCTTGTGATTCAATCACTTCCCATCAGGTTCTTCCCGTAACACATAGAGTTATAGGAGCTACAATTCAAGGTGATATTTGGTGGGGACACAGCCAAACCATATCACCTACTGACTACCTTCAGGGTTATTTAAAACAGTAAAATTGTAGATCATGTATGTTTTATTTCATTAGTCTACCTATAGCTTTACTTAGTTGTATAAATTGGCTATTAAAAGATGCTTGTATTTTAAATTCTACATGTTAGATGAGTCTCATAAGTGGAAAACAGAAAAATGTTTACTTGAAATTATGAACTGTGAAATATACTATTGATGTTAAATATAGTAACAAAATACGATTACATGCTTTGAAGGAAAAATAATTTTTAATTACTTAATAAGTTTACTAAATTTTAACTGTTGAGATCAACATTATTCCCTTGGGCCTAAGAAAATAACTTTAGTTTTCTTTCCAGTAAAAATCTGCAAGTAAAATATTTAGAAAAAAAGTTTTAAAAAATAATTTTTGATTAACAGGAAGTATAAATTATAAAGTAGTATATTTATATTTTTGTATAATCTAAATAATAATTATATTTAAGATATGAGTTTAAATTACTATTAAACCATTCTATTATGCAGTCTTATAGTTTAACATGATTCAGTGATATACGATGTAGTAAAACCTGTGTCTCACAGATGACCATTTTCAGTTTCTTGGCAGTACAGAAGTGGAACAGCCAAAAGGAACAGAAGTTGTGAGAGATGCTGTAAGGAAACTAAAGGTAGGGAAAGCCCTTTAAATAAATTACAAGTGTATTGACTCTGTCATGTTGTCAGTAGATTGATGGAGATCAAAGCATGAGTAGTTTTATCACAGACATAGCTTCACTCTATTAAAAATGAACTATTGAGCAAATGTGATCATATCAAGAAAACATTTTTAATAATACGTATGTATACAAAATTGTTTTTAAAATATGGCATCCTGTTCATATTTTTCTAAGATATAATGTGTCATTTAAAAATTTTATATGTATATATATATATGTATTTTTTTTTTTTAATTTGAGATGGAGTTTTGCTCTTGTCACCGAGGCTGGAGTGCAATGGTGCAATCTTGGCTCACTGAAACCTCCTTCTCCCAGGTTCAAGTGATTCTCCTGCCTCAACCTCCAGAGTAACCGGGATTACAGGCACCTGCTACCATGCTCGACTGATTTTTGTATTTTTAGTAGAGATGAAGTTTCATCATGTTGGCTGGGTTGGTCTCAAACTCCTGACATCAGGTGATCCACCTACTCAGCCTCCCAAAGTGCTGGGATTACAGGCATGAGCCACCGCGCCTGGCCTAAAAATAATATTTTATGGCAGTGTGCCTTGAGTGTTGATGTTTAGTAGCTTGCCTTTACTTTGCTTGGATAATGTGAACTTATGTCTCAAATCAAGCTGGTAATGGTATAACAACTATCTTTAAAAGCTAGGGTATATCTACCAGTTAAAGATGTGGAGTTAGTGTTGACTCCAGGCAGAATTTTGAAGTGACACTGTATATTAAAGATGTCCTAATCAACAAATCCAGAAAGAACTAGCAATGTCCATAAGTAGCCATGGGGGAACAGGTGAGACTGAGAGAAGAGAAGGACATTTAATAAGCAACCCCACATATCCTAGTCAACAAGTTTCCTGAGAAAATCTTACATAAGATGCCACATAGTATGTTTTTCTAATTGTTCCACATCTCAAAAGACATTGTTGTCACTGAGACTTGAAAATTTATAAACCTCCTTCAACAGAATTCTCAGCTTTATCATATAAGAAAATATACATACCACTACTTATTTCTTTTACACAATTAATGTTATTCTCTATAGTTGCTCTCACATTTTTGGAGAAACAACCATTCTCTAACTTTATTTGGTTTAGGGACCATCCAGTTATTCTAAAGGAGGGTTAGACCTCTGATTCTGCCAGGCAAAGTCAGAGACATTAAATGCTTTTACTTTGCTTTGAGAATGTCATATCTGGTGGAATCTACTCTGTGTTTAACTTGAGGAATAATTGAATTGGTGTGGCTTCTATTCTGGGTAAAAAAATAAAGGTCAATAATATTTTATTCATTTTATTTTATATGAGAATATTTTACTAATCCTTTTAAGTAAATATACTAAACTCCCAAGATAATATTGCTGCCTTTGGGAAAAAAGTGGATTGGCCAACTATTTATTTTCACCATTTGTTAGGTAATAATTAAGACTTGCCTTTTATTGGTCAACATTTTTAATCATTCTAAAAGCGGATTTAAAAGGCCTCGAAGTTTATGGACAGCATTAGAATAGTATTCTGTTTAAATACTTTCAAAATGTTGCAAATTCAGGGCATGAATCCAACTTCACTACAATCAGAATGTTTTATGAAAGAACAATGCTATTTACACATAGTATTTCTTTATGCCTAGGAGGTTCTTTATTCAGTCAACCCAAATCAAAAACCAAAAAGATTCCATCGAATAATGAATAGATCAAATGTAAAGATATATTTGAAATCAAATGCTTTCTAAACAATGTCTAGTTTACATATATTTTGGCAGGATTTTATATGTATTTCTATCGAGTTTCATGTTTAGAAATGTACCCTGTTAATAAAAGAATGTGACTTACAATAAGATAAAAAGTTATGTAGTATAGTTTAAAAATGCACACTTAGTTTATAGTAGCCATTGTTTCTCAAATGTCTTCCAAAATAGGTGTGTATTTAATAAGCAATCTTTACTGTGCTGATTGAAAACATTTTCTATATCAGGAAAGTATACCTAAGGGTAATGACTTATACAGTAATGATAATAAATAAAACAAAGCTTTTTAATCTGTTTTTATTTTATTTTATTTTTTATTTCTTTGTGCCAAGGGTCAAAAGCTACAATTCAAAGTATACCAAGAATATTTTTTACGTGTCAGGCCTGGCCCTTTCTAAATTTTGGTCTTGTGCAGAAATGACCAGAAGGTGGTGGTGTGGCTCTACTAAAAAAAGAAAAAAAGAAACGTTCGTTTATCATACATACACATCTCCATTTTAAGTTCCTGCTTATTTTTCTTAAACGTATGAACTCTGACTGCTTTTTAAAAAATCTGTATAATTCAGTATGTGATTTTATTTGCCATATAAGGTAACATTTTATTTATATTTACTACTTTTTCAGCAATATTAATGTAATAGCTTCTGACATTAAAAATGAATTTAAAATTTAAGAATAAAAGCTAATGGAAAAATTAAAGAATTTTTAATAATAAATTTTTCATGTTTCTGTGTTTAATGATGCCTGCTTAGTTTTCAAAAAATTTTAAAACTTTGATTTTTTACACTCTATTTCACTGTCATTTTACAGAGAATTTACAGTTTATAAATTTTTAAATAAATATAGTAGTTTTTATAAGTACTGAGTTTTTGGGTTCAGATACTCAGATACTATATTTATCAAAACATGTTCTTTTATTTCATAATCATGTTCGACCGTTTCTATTTCTTAATCACGTTTTAGCCTGAGATTTAAGAAAATACCAAGTTTTCTAAAATGCAGTAATTTTAAACCCTTTCAACATCTATGTATTGAATAACATTGTTATTCGAATTAATTTTATTTTTAATACTGATTTATATATTTTTATTAATACAACTAATACAAACGTTGGGGACTCAATATATTTCATAAACAATTCATGATGTTTACATGTAAGTAAGTATTGATATATAGATTCAAAGCTTATCAATGATTCTGGGAGATATCCAGGGGGCAGCATTCATGGAACACAGTTTTAGAGTGAAGATCCCCTGACTCCAATGCAGCTAAATTAAAAATACATGAAATTACTGCATGAAAATGTAGCCTTTGGGAATTGCTGTCAAGCCTTGCAAAGTCCCAGCCAAGTAGATTCTCCATTTGAACTCACTCTGTCTATGTTGTATAACACTATTTTTGTCTTCACAATCAGTTATCTAATTAATAAAACATTTAAAGCTTAATTTAATTATATATAAACATAGCTCATTTTCCCCAGGATTATTGGAAATGCTTTAGATTGAAAATATAAGCATGAAAACCCCAAAGATGAATAGTAGCTCCAAATAATAGGTCTAAAGTAGTAAATTAATTTTATTGCCTAATACTATATATTCCATTAGTAGTATAGTTAATTTCACTTTTTAAAAAGTCCTCTGAGAAATGGATAGAAATTGTGTGATGATAATATTGAAACTCGGTTGTGCTCCCTTTAAATTTTCCTTAACAGTTCCATTTATCAGTGGTATATATTTAATGAAATGTTTTATATATTTCAAGTATCACTCCATCCTTCCCCATCATTTTTTGATGAAAAAGGCTTGATTTTGTTTGTTGTATCCAGTCATTCTCCAAAATGCTTATGCATCACTTCCTTTGAATAATTTTTATTGGATTATTATATTCAAGTTTTAATGGCAGATCACTTTATCCATCTAGCTCTACCAAGAAGTAAATTCACTGAAGCAAACATTGAAAGAAATTTGTGAAAAAGACTCTTTTCAAGCATTACCATTAAAATAGTAAATAGGGAGAAAATAGAATATAATCTTCTGAAGATTGATCAGCATATCTTCATAAGATTAATTAGAAATATTAGGAGAGCAAGAGGTCTTAGAGGGGAGCATGCAAACTATAGGTTACAGTTAGCTTAAGTTTAGAAAAAAAAGGCAGGAAGGAGAATATTAAACTGAGTAAAATACAGATTGAATGAATATAATCTTAGGCCTGAGAGTTGTGTAATGTATATTCAAAAATCAAGGCCAATAGCTAGTATGAACCTTGATATGCATGAAAATAGAACTGGGAATTTTCTGTTCTAAATGCAGAAAATATGTTGTATAAAAGAAAAAGATTATTTAGTGAATATTTGCAAATCTAGTTACTAGGCCTAATTTCTACAAACCCATTTTATGACCAAGGTACATAGCTTATCTGGGACTTACATTTCCCGTCTTTGAAATAAGAAGATGCGATTGCATGAATCTGAAGCTATTTTGAGCACAATTACTTCATCCTGTTATGAAGCAGACAGAAAAGTTTTAGAAAACCTAGATAAGAAATATTGTGCTTATTTTTATTTTTCTTTCTCTTACTCTCTCCTTCTTCCCCCTCTCCCTTTCCTCCTCCTCACTCCCTTCTTACCGCTCCTCTTTGTTTTTCTACCTCACCCCCTACTTCCTTCCTTTCTTTAGTTCTTCCATTTTTACTTCCATTCTCCATAGATAAGTTTAATAATAGTGGTTGTTTTGTGGTAGACATTTTAGCGGGGGAAATTGAAAAGGGTGCACAGTTCTTGTCAGAGGTCACAGGAATATAGTTGAGTCTAGATGTGGAAGGAGCTTCAGAAGCCATGCTTAGTCTGTTTCTGGAAAACAGCAGTACCTAGGAGACAAGCAGAGAGTGCCTCTGCAGCCGACAATGGGAGTTGCTTTATCCAGATGCATTCACGTAGGTGGAGAGCAGCTGACTTATTTTGTAAGCCTTCCTATGTGAAAACCTTCAAATTGCTCAACTATGCTGATAGAAAGAGATTATGAAGGAAAAATAAAATTAATTCACATTCTTTGGGAGAGAGCTGAGATAATTTTTAAAGATGTACACTCAAGCAAAATAAATTTCTTAAAGATAAAAAAGAAAATTAACTGGCAATTTCTTAAAGACAAAAAAGAAAATTATCTGGCACAAGTTAGTTGTATCATGTGTAGCAAGAAGACGGCTATATACCAAAAAAAGCAATCCAAGTTCACAGAGCAAAACAGACAGCAAGCTGAAAATTTATACCACCCAAAATGGAATAAAACAAATGGTACCCCTTGGGATAGGAAGGCAGACACTTAAAGGCATTCATATATGTATTTATTATAGTATTCTCTGTGGCCGTGCAAAGCCATGAAAAGAAAAACAGACTTTGTGCTCCAGGATGGAGCTATACCGTGTGTATTCACATCTGCCCTAAATTACAGTGAAATACACAGTGCAAGTAACTATGACATACAAGAGGACTGAAATGCTGTCTTGCATTACATGTCATCAATTTTGAGTCAAGTTAAGATGACCTGTATCCTTAGAGAAAAAAACGCACACTAGGAAATAACTTTTTGAAGCCCTAGAAGAGGGGCGAGGAATTCTTTCTTCTATTAGTTTTCTTTCCATTTCTTAAAAAGTTGGGTGGTTGGGGTGGTTGCAGAGGAGAGAAGGAATGTAGGGAGAGAGTAAAATTGCCAAATAAAATCAAGATGCCTAGTAACCTTTGAATTTCTTACAAATATTTTTTAGTATAAATACGTTCCAAACATTGCATGGGATATATGTATGCTAAATAATATATATATGTTGTGTTTGTGCCTATATTTTAAAATTAAAGTTTTAAAAAATAATATTAATTGTTTAACTTTCATGTTTAACTGGGATCCTGAAATATTCCCCCACTAAGTTAAGCAATACTAGTAGAGAGACGGACACTCCATCTGCTAAGCACATGAGTATTCTGATTTTCTTTTTGATTTTATAACAGAACTGAACAAGCATTTACATACACCTACTAACTCAATGAGAAAGTACTATACATACTATTACAAAAGTTTTCAGAAAAGTTGTGCTGTTAAGATACTCACAATATTTATAGTTCTAGACTGAGTCTAGTTCTATACCTGAGTCTTTTAGCTGCGATAATTAATTCAGTTTTTCACTTCAGTTTGGATATGGTAATCAGCTTCTTTTTGTTTATTGATGTGGTTGCATAGAATAGTGTTCCAAACCGGGTAAATATCTAGAAATGGCGAAGAGGGCTTATTTAATAGCTGATGAACTGCAAATTCTCTGAAGATAATAAAAACAAAGATTCACAGAAAAACAAACTGATCTCGGCATATCTTCCCACAAAGTATTTTGAGTTTTCTCAGTTGTCTGGTATGAACACATTTCTGTAAATACCATGAAATAAGTGCATTAAAAATAATAATTTTAAAAACTTGCTAAAAATCAATGTGAATTATAATAGCTGATCGCTATTATTTTTTAATATTTTGAGACTATCTTTACAGAATGCTTGATGATTGGCAAACATTCACTTAAAGTCTGAAATTGAATATGAACTCCAAATGTATATTTATTTGTGTTCATTATTTATAGAGATACAATTGTAGTTTTGTGAATAATTTTTCATTTGCAGTTTGCAAGACATATCAAGAAATCTGAAGGCCAGAAAATTCCTAAAGTGGAGTTGCAAATATCAATTTATGGAGTAAAAATTCTAGAACCCAAAACAAAGGTAAGGCTTATTTTTGAATGCTAGAGACATTCTAATCTTTAATTAATTGCAATTATATTTCTATTTTCACAAATATTTAAAAATTTTTTGCAACCCTGAACTGTTTAGTTCTGAGTTAAGGACAAATTGAAACTATAGGATTTTTAGAAGTGAAAACAACTTTTGGAATTTCATTATAAGTGATCTGTTCTTCAGCTTGTTTGGGATATAATATTAATAATTTATGCTAAGTGTATTCAACAGTGTTTGGACTTGTATTTGGGAATTTTTTTTCAGGAGATGTGAAAGAGATGCATACAGTGTGGTTCACTGAGTATGAAAGAAGATAAAAGCTGTGTGTTGCTTATTAAAATATTCTGCATTGACTTCTATTCCTGTAGATGTAATCAGTGTGTATTAGTTTTCTGGGTGGCCATAACAAAATACCACAACTGGGTAGGTTAAACAGCAGAAATTGTTTTCTCACAGTTGTGGAGGCTGGAGTTCTAAGATCAAGATGCCAGCAGGGTTGGTTTCCTCTGTGGCCTTTCTCCTTGGCTTGCAGAGGGCTGCCTTCTTGCTGCCTGTTCATATGGTCATCTACCTGTGCACGCACTTATCTGGTGTCTCTTTGTATGTCCAGTAAGGACACCCATCAAATTGGATAGGCATCATACTCGTAGCCCCATTTTAACTTAATTACCTTTTTAAAGGCCTTTTCTCCTGTTCAAATTAAAACTGGACTAATTAAATTTGGCAGACTTTATTTGAAGAGATAATGATTCATGAATCAGGCAGCACTCGAAACCAGAAGTTGTTCAGGAAGCTTTGCCCAGCAGCAGTGAACATGGAGCTTTTTATAGGCTGAACACAGAAATCAAAGTGATGACTCACCAGATTGGCTACAGCAAGGCATCTACCTTCAATGGGCATGGTATGATGAGCTGGCTGCCTGTAATTGGCTAAAACTTAGCTGTGTATTATACTTCTAAATTAGTGTTCAGCTTATTTACATACTAGTCAGGTTGCAGTTTGTTATTTAGGAACTCAAAGTACAGAGACAACCCAGGTGAATGGCCTCAATCTTACTTAATTTAGCACTCCAGCTATAGTCTCATTCTGAAGTGCTGGGGATTACAGCTTCAACATGTGAATTTTGGGGAATACAATTCAGCCCATAACACAGTGTAAACTTAAGTTTCTTGTGTTTAAGGGCCTCAGACCCTTCAAAGCAAATAAAATATTTTAAAATATAATCTGTTCTGAATTCAAATTAATTAACATGTACTTGTTTTGAACTAAAGTGTTTCCTTCCAAAAGTCCTGTGTTGATGCCTTAACCCCTAATGTGACTACATTTGAAGATAAGGCTTTCAAAGAGGTAACTCAGGTTAAATGAGACCTTAAGGGTGGGGCCCTCATCCAATATGACTGGTATCCTTACAAAAAGAGGAAGAGACACCAGGGATACATAAACACAGAGTAAGGCCCACATGAAGACACAGAGTGAAGGCAGCAATCTGCAAGCCAAAGTGAAAGGTTCCAGAGAAACCAAACCTACCAACATCTTGATCTTGGACTACTAACCTGCAGAACTATAAGAAAATAAATTCCTGTTGGATAAGCCACCCAGTCTGTAGTATTTTGTTATGTCAGGCCTAGTAAACAAAAACAGTACTTTATTCACAATGCCTCAGAGTTATTATTTAGTAATTTTGATAGGACTATATTAGTCCATTTGGAAAAATTAGCATTTAACTCTATTTTATAAATACATATTGTCAAAGCATTCTTCTAACACTAGCATACATATCGAAAAATTGATTCAGATCAATGGCATACCTTCAACTTTCCATATAAAAAAACAATGGCTTTCCTTCAAACTTTTCAAGAAATGAATTTAAGTCTTCTCACAGTTATCCTGGCTAAACTTCTCTATTATTCACCCTCAATATTCAATAACGAACAAATTTAGTTATGGCAATTCTAAAATAGCTACTGCTAAAGTGGCTAAAACAGAAAAAATCAAATGGTGAAAAGATAGTAGAGAGCTGATTCAAGCAAAGTGGAATATACGCAGTTTGCTAGGAAACAAGGCAATTGAAAGCAAGGCATGAATGAGATTAATTCATTAGGCAGTTAGCAGTTACAAAAAGAACAAGAGCCCAAGGAAGCAATAAATTACAGAAGGACAATGCAATCAAAATGTAGCAACCAAATGTAGTCTTAAATGTCATGAAAAAGAAAAATAATCCTATTCCTATATCTTCTTTTCAAAATTAAAAGATACATAGTGGCAAATGTGTAGCCAGGATAGGGTATTTGTAGGGCCATGCTTATGTTGAAAGTTTTTTTCTAAACCATATAAATTAGGTAGCTGTTTTGCACTGTGTGTACATGTTTGTGTGTGTATGTGTAATTAATTATTCTTATTTTCAATTTCTTATCTGATGGTTTGAGGCTTGTCACAGCACACGTTGAAATTTGTAAAGCTGATAATATACTTTATGTGCCATTCTCATATGTTCTTCTTATTTTTTATTTGAGTCTACCTATGGTGTATTTTAAACTCTAAAAATTTCACCACATTCATGTATCATAATTTACTAAATCATTGTTTTATTACTGAACATATGGAATGCTTCAAATTTTTCCTTAGTTGATAATCTTGTTTAAATATTTACAAAATACAAACACGATTAAATGGAGTATGTAAAGAAAACTTCTTTGGGTTTAGAATTCATAAGTTAATAATGGCACGTCATTAGAAATGCATAAAATGCTAATTGATTAAAACACTATAAGATAACCACCACTAACTGCCACTACAAGATGGCTACCACCTATGTTTATAGGGTATATGTGTGTGTAAAGAAAGACAACAATGGATCATGTAATGCAAATGTGGCACCTTGTTACCAGTTGGCTAGGTGAAGTGTATATGGGTATGCATTGCAACTTTTTCTATTATTTCCTGCATGATTTCATCTGATATTTTAAATGAAACTATTTATTCCAATGAAAGATATGTGAATTGGCTGGGTGTGGTGCTTACACCTGTAATCCCAGGACTTTGGGAGGCCAAGGCTGGAGAATCACGAGGTCAAGGAGTTCAAAACCAGCCTGGCCAACATGGTGAAACCCTGTCTCTACTAAAAATACAAAAAAAAAACCCAAAAAAAAACAAAAAAAAAAAGCTGGGCGTGGTAGCAGACACCTGTAATCCCAGCTACTCAGGAGACCGAGGCAGGATAAGCACTTGAACCCAGGAGGTAGAGGTTGTAGTGAGCCGGGATCGGGCCACTGCACTACAGTCTGGGCGATGGTGTGAGAATCTGTCTCAAAAAAAGAAAAAAAAAAAAAAAAAAAAAGAAAAGAAAGATATGTGAAAAGCTCTTTTAAAGACTTAATCAACAAGTTATGCTATCATATCTATTTGCTTTTTCTTCCTTGGCTTCCTGACCACTTGAAGAAACCTCCCTTTATGAATTCCAATTCACCAATAACTTATGGTTTGTTAGGTTACTTCTTATACCTGCTCTCCTGATCACTGGTTATCTGGACTAAGGATAATTTGTTTTAATAATTTTAAATATTTGTAAATATAAAGACAGAAATACCAAACTTTTTTAAAAAAATATCATATGATACTGTAGAGTGAGGAAAAACCAAAGTGAATAGAGTCAAAAATTACGCTGGGCTTAAAAAAAGTCTGTGGTACAGCAATAGTACAGAATAGAGAAGACTGTAGGATTAAACCTGCACACCTACAGCTGTCTGATTTTTGACAAAGTCAACAAAAATAACAAATGGGGAAATGATTATTCAATAATTGGTGCTGGGATAGCTGGCTAGCCATATGCAGGAGATTGAAACTGGATTTTACCTTTCACCATATACAAAAATTAACTCAAGATGGATTAAATATTTAAACATAAGACCTTAAAGTATAAGAATCCTGGAAGAAAACGTAGGAAATACCATTCTGGACATTGGCCTTGGGAAAGAATTGATGACTAAGTCTTCAAAAGCAATTGCAACAAAAACAAAAGTTGACAAGTGGGAGGTTCTGAGCCGCAAAAGAAACTATCAACAGAATAAACAGACACCCTACAGAATGGGATAAAATATTTGCAAACTATACATTTAACAAACATCTAATATCCAGAAGTTATAAGGAACTTAAACAATTCAACAAGCAAGAAATGATAATAACCCTGTTAAAAAGTGGGCAGAAAACAGGAGCAGATCCTTCTCAAAGAAAAGCAGCCATCAAACAAACAAAAAAAATGTTCCATACCACTAATCAAAGAAATTAAAATCAAAACCACAATGATATACAATCATCACCATACAGACTAACTGTTATTAAAAAGTTTAAAAAATAACAGATGCTAGTGAAGTTGTGAAGAAAAGGGAATGAGTATACACTGTTGAGGGAGTTGTAAATTAGTTCAACCACTGTGGCGAGCAGTTGATTTCTCAAATAACTGAAAACAGTTCCCATTTTCCAGTAACCCTATTACTGGGTGTATGTTCTTGGTATATATCCAAAAGAAAAACAAATATTTACATCAAAAAGGCATACACTCTCATTTTCTTTGCAGCACTTTTCAAAATAGCAAAAATATGGAATCAACCTAGATGCCTCTCAATGGTGGATTGGTTAAAGAAAATATGGTACACATACATCATTGGAACACTGTGCAGTCATAGAGAAGAATGAAATCATGTCCTTTTGCAGCAACGTGGATGCATCTTGAGGCCATTATCCTAAATGAATTCATGCAGAAACAGAAAACCATACACCATATGCTCTTAGTTATAAGTGGGTACTTATATTGGGTACTCATCAATATAATGATGAAACCGTGGATTATGAGGGCTACCAGAAGGAGAAGAAGGGATGGGACATGGGTTTAAAAACAAACTATTACATACTATGCTTAGTACCTCAGTGATGGGATTATATGTATCCAAAACCTCAGCATCATGCAGTATACCCTGGTAACAAACCTGAGT